AAGGGTTCGGCCCAACTACGTTTCCACGAAGATCACAAATACATGGCAAGGGCTCGGCCCAACTACGTTTCCATGCTAATCACATTACATGGCAAGGGCTCGGCCCAACTACATTTCCATGCAATCCTAGAGTCCGACTCTAATTCATTTTCGTAGTCCAATTCTCAAGCAAATCCTATGCCTAGAATCAACCCACTTGGGTAGCCTTTAGGCTTACCCCTAACACACCTTAGTGTTCATTCAATTCAACCTTAAAGTATCTCTTAAGACTACTTAAGGCAATTCTATTCATAATCCTATCCCCTAGGATTTATTCCATTATATTATTCTCCAGACTAGTATTTTAATACTAGTAGGTTTGTCTTAGAACATATCAAGTTCTTAATTCAAATTGGCATTTCCTTTCTATTGATTTTCCAATCCAAATATAATTTGATCCCAATATCAAAATATCACTTTTATCCATTCATGAATTTCACACATGATGTAAAAGCATATTTTATCACAATATTCACATAGTTAATTCCATTATCATACCATTCCTTTCATGTCACATAATCATACACATTTTATTCTAAATCTGTATATTATGCTCCATTTACTCACATCAATAGTATTTTCATTAAGCATTATTACTCATTAATAATCCATGAAAATCACCTTTAATACCTTAGGAAATCTTATGCAATTAACTCACTAATTATAAGCAATATAGTCAGTCATCCTCACCTCGTGATGTGCTACAATAGTTGCCTTTGTTAAGCCGCTCGATCAATCCCCGTTCTAGGCCGATTGAAAGTGGAAAATTGGACTGCTGGGCAAAAGCCGGGCGGCTTTCACGAAAGCCAGGCGGCTTTCGTAGTCTGCAACTACGAACAGCTCCTTTGGAGTGGCGGTTTCTGGCGATTTCAACTCCTATCGGTTCACCAACTCTTCTAAGTTAAATAACACCACTATATATCAATATTCTACACTTTTAAACGTGTAGAACATCATGTTTAATCCAGCCTATGATCTCTTAAAAATATCAAATACAAAAACTAGTTAAAAGATTGTTTGTTGAGTTCTTACCTCAATAACAATTCTTTTCTTCTTGGAAAACCTCCCCTGAATCTTCCTCTGGGTTCTTGTTTTTGAGAGTTATCCTCCTGGAGTTCTCCTCTAATGAAAGGTCCGAATGGTGCTAGCATAGGGGGGGTATCACCTATCCATTCAACCCACATGATTTTTGTGTGATGGGGTCATGAGGGTGTAATCCTTGTCTCTAGGAGACTTCCTCCCCTCCCTTGTGCGTACAGCACGTTTGGTTGCTGCCCCTCCCCTATTACTTGGTCAATCAGCACCCATAAAAACGTGGGGTGGCCCCCACTTATGTGGGAGGTCATCCCATTATGTCCCGATGTGTACAATCGGCCCCGAAAGTTGTATTTCTCGGCCCGTTTTAATCATATTTTATTTTATTGGGCCAAATAAAATATATCACGCGTTCCTAATAATTATGGGCCTTTAGAATAGATGTACATTCCCCAACATAAATTTAGGAGTCTCCGAAACTCACTTCGAGCTGTTATCCGCTAAATTACGAATACCGGTAATTGGGCTTCGTTTGACCCACCGGTCAATTCCATGCCCTTCCCCTTGCCCAATTAAAATATCCACCGCCATATAGATGTCATCTAGATCAAGATGAATATAATATGTGGTTCGGGAATTATCGGGTGGTCCCCATTCCCGCTGTGGGCCCCACATGCAATTTACTATTCACGTAAAAGAAATAATAAAATTTAACAATTACGCAAATTTCATAAATCATCCTTCAAGGTTTATTACATCATTTACTAAAAGTAAACATGCGTGGGGACGGTGTCACAACCCATACCGAAGGCTCTAACCCTACAGTTGGGATGAATTTGTTTAAGTCCACATTATCCGGAGTTTGAAGAAATATCAAAGGTCCACATTTCCGTGGCCAAGCTCTGAAGGCTCTTGCTATGCAGCACTCTCCATCATAGCATGGGCTGAAGTCATTTGCCTTTTCTATGACATGATTGGACTACCAAGTTTCCTAACTTCACACTTTGGGAACCCACCAAAGCCGAAGGCTCACATGCTTGAGAAGAATCGAGGGCACCTGCAAGGGTTGAGATCAAATTTTCAAGTACACACCCCGGTAGCCTCCGACACCACAATCAACACCGGAGGCTCAAATCGTAGGAGACCACGTGATGCACATCACTTGGTGCTCTCGTAGAGAGGTTTGAACACAATCAAGTGAGAAAACCTCCCAAAAAACATCCAAAAATTCATCCCCATCACAAAAAAAAATCCACCAAAAATCAATTCTGCAAAAAAAAATACGACAAATCAGTCTGAAAAGAACAAGCATCGAATAAGATCTGGAAATTGGCATCTGGGATTTCCATCACAGAAGCCGAAGATGTCTTTGCCGGAAAGGTCATCGCCCTCCTGGTCGCCGCCGTACACCGATAGCAGAAGCTTGTCACCTGCTGAAGCTCACCAGCCGCTCCCAGGTTTGAGCTGAGGCCACCCCACGCTGTCCACTGTAGCTCACGGCACCAGGTAGGAGCTCCTCCGTCACAACCCTGTCAGCAACGCTCCGAGCCGCTGCGCCACTGCACTACTCTCCGTCACGGCACGAATACCGGAGCCTGAACTCCCTGGTCAGCGGAGTTGGTCAACCAGAACAGTCACAACCTCGTAAGACGTCACTTGAAGTTTCTGGTCGCAGCTTGCTCTTCATCTTGTTGGTTTTCGCTTGTTTTCACCATTAATGGCTGCCTTGGAGCTCCTGAGAGCGACGAGCGACTCCGATCTTGTCGCAGCGCCGTCTCAACGCCTTCTCTTGCCTTGCTCCTGGTCGCAGCGCCGTCTCAACGATCTGTTGCAGTAGCTCGATGGTCTTCGTCCGCCATTAATGGCTGTGTGAGAGCTCTCTGTTCACGGCCCAGGCGATCTCCTTCCCTCCAGCCTCGTCAACCGGGAGTCGTCTCTCTTGAGCCTCCATTTCCGACGGCCGTAGATCTCAAGTTTTGGGGGTTCGCACGTACAGAGGCAGGAGTAAAAGGCCATGGATGTTTTGGGTCAAGTAGCAACAATGGGCTGGATAACCTTTTGCTCCAATCCAGCTCTACAACGGGCCAATTTCAGCAAAACAACCAATTTTCAACCCATTACTTTCAAACCATCAAAAGATAAGTACTTTTAAATTTTCATATTATTTATATTTATTTAAATCATTTCTTTTTATCGGACGAATATCAAACTATCACATAATTATGATCAAATGCCTAGTAGACTGTGACTTGAGATCCATCACTAGGATTTTAAGTCCTGACCAAGTAAGGCACAAAGCCCCGACCAAGTCGGGCATGAAGACCGGTCTTAGTCATTTCAAGAGTGGCGACCGTTGCGTACGAAGGGCTCACACATCCACTCTATTAAGTATTTTATCATTACATTAGCAATTCACATTTCCAGTTTTTTAAAGTGACGAACTCCTAATCGGAAACATAAACCCCAAGAAAAAAATTTACGCATGTTAAATGTGTAGGTACAAAGATGACTTTACTCATTTTCACCTCGTCTCCACTCTCCTCAAGGACTGGGGGACTGAGGGGTCAGATTTTCTAGATGAGCAGCAAATATCACTCATGAGCAGGAGCGAGAGCTAGGTCGGATGAAGACGGGTTGAGCTACACAAAAGTGATTATGCCGCAGAGGGCCCACCTTCCTTGTTTCATGTTGCGGGGTGCTAGGTGTACTCTTTTTCCCTTTATTAGGATTTTTCCCACTGGGTTTTTTCCTAGTAAAGGTTTTTAACGAGGCACATCCCCCCATCATGGACAAGCTAGGGTGGTGGTCCCCCGGTCTAAGAGGAAGAAATCAAAGACAAAAGAACATTGCAGATACAGTTTGGACTACTCCCTTTCACCTCGAGTACTCTTGACTCAGGGAGTGAGGGACTCCTAATAGAGTATATGGACTCCGACCTCCCGGTCTGCCGACTACTGGGCTTGGACAACGGCCCACACACGTTTAGCGGATATCATTCATATTATTGTACATTATTATTATTATTCCGATGTTCTAGATTAATTTTTTGTATTATCAGTCCATTTATGTAATCGGGTCTGTCAGGCCCATATTAGAGGCCCAAACCCGGATTTTCCCTATATATACTCCTTATAGGAGGCTATTGAATGATAACTCATAACTCATACAACCAATATTGATTCATACACAATACTTCTTCTCTTCTCCTTCTTTCTTGTTCAAATCTTTCCTAGTTTATACAATATGGGTATGAATTATCCAACATGCTTAAAATATAAGGCCATATGAGTCACACAACAAGTGATTATACCTTCCGAATGATTTGTTAGAAGGAATAAAATATTAATTAGATTAAATCATATTTAATTAATAATACTAGATATCGATTAAATATTAATTAGATTAAAATATATTTAATTCATGATACTGAAGGAGTGTTCTATTTGATAGAATTAATTAAGTAAGAAAAATTATATTTTTATATTTAATTAAGATATATTTTTAAATAAAGAAAGTTTATATGATTTGGTACAATTTAGAATTGAAATAAAGCCAAAGAAAATAATAAGTAAAATAGTTAAAGTTTGAATGGGAGTGCCGTACATCCCATGTTCAAACTTTAATGTTATGATTTTTATTTTATTTATTATCTTTATTTAACTATTAATGAGTACTGGTCCTGGTAGGATTACAACTCATTAATAAGGAAGACTTTCAATGTGATCGGGAAACTAGTTTAGAAATAGTATAAATACAGCATCCTCCTTCGTAATTGTGAGACCACTTTTCTAGATTCAGTATTACCAATTTATTTCTTTGCAAAGAGATTTCATAGTCTTTCTCTATGATACCTAAGGTCAAGAATTATCACCGCTAGGTTAGAAGATCTGTAAGTTCTAACTTAGATCTGTTATTTTGTTATATTCGTTGTTTTATTATAATCTGGGAAGATCTTGTTTGGAAAAATATAAATTTCCGTTGTTGTACTTTCGAGTTACGTTACATCAATTTCTTAACACCCTTAACACCCTGTGCAAACTTGTTGTTACTCTAATACAATTTACACTCGATCTCACTTAGCATTTTTCGTCCTTCTCATTTTCCCGGATTTTGAATACCTCCATTTGATCCATCATTTGGTGCTTTCCTTGAGAGAAGAACAAGTGTGATGTTGTTATCGCTCAGCATGAGGCATCAGCGGAAACTACAACTACCTTCGGTATCCGGAGAGACGCTAAGGCAAGCAGGTGGCACCAGCGACTGCGGATCTACGCAGCCAGATCCAATGAAATTCCGTAGATCTCCTCTATCAACTGTCCCAAAATCGCGATGCAGCGGCAATACCGTCCGCCCAAGTGATGCCGCAAATTCAGAATTTTTTGATTGCGGATCCTTCTGCGGCTATTGGCACCCTCACCTTGAGAGAAGAACATGCGTGATGCTGTTGTCGCATCAGCAGAAACTACGACTACCTCCGATATCCGGAGAGACGCTAAGGCAAGCAGGTGGAACTAACGACTTCGGATCTACGCAGCCAGATCCAACGAAGTTCCGTAGATCTCCTCTAACAACTGTCCCAAAATCACGATGCAGTGGCAATACTGTCTGCCCAAGTGATGCCGCAAATTCAGAATTTTTTGATTGCGGATCCTTTTCTGCGGCGGTTGGCGCTCATCTCAGGATTGCAACAAATACTGCCAACACTGCAATCCCAACCGGAAACAAGAGCGACGAACAATGCCGTAGGACCAATTTCTCCGGTGGCCTCTAGGTCACGATCTTTGAGGGTGGGCTCCATAGAGGCATGATGGGTTGTTGAAGAGCCCATTGAAATGGTTTGTCCACCTTCCCCACACGGCCAACAGCCAGCGCCGGTGGCCACTACAGCCCCGGGCGACGCTGAGGACTCGTTCTCCGCCTACTGAATATGCACGAATTGTCTGGTCTTTAACAGTTGTTTATTCACAAATTTGAACACCCGCGACTACCACCCATGTCGAATCCTTGTTTTGTGTTGATGGTCTTGAAATAAATGTTCTACAAGCAGGCTAAGTAAAATAATACTCCGTAGTTCTTCCCTTTCCCTAACCCAATTCCCTACACACAAATAAGGCAATCACTTGACACAGAAATGCTTCCACCTGCGCGCCAAGTGGTCTATTTCTTCTTCACTGTCGATGCCTGTAACATGTTCGATAAAATTTCAAAGAACTCTATCCTTCACAATCTAGGGTTTTTATGTTCATTATTAGGTATCGCAAATTCACATCACAAGAATCTTCAGCAACCAGTAAAAAGGACAAACAAGACAGTAAAATATACTAGTATACCATATAAAAAGAATCGCCCAAAGAGTGTTTTGAAAAAGATAGTTTAAGGCGCACACGAACAGAATAGGGCTCAGATCTGTGTATGATCGGCAGCGAGAAGGAGGGGCACCGCCATGGCTGCAAACACAACAGTTGCAGCGTGAGAATCACGTGCCGTCCGCGTGCTGCCATGCCAAGATACGGGCCGGGTTATCTCGATACCAGATCTATCAGCTCAGGAGGAGCAGTCAATACAAAATATCATCACCGCCCCCTTTCAACCGTATCGCCGCTCGATTCATCACCACCCCCACCGCCCGCACCACCACAGAAGATGAATTTGCATGACAGAATGAGTATATATATACGTAGTATGTATGTATGTATGGATGGATACAGATAAAGAGACAGAGAAAGATCAGAGAGAGCAATATGTAACAGTCTGAAGCTCATTCTTTCTCAAAAGAAGGAAAAGAAGAAAACAGCAGAAGAGGGCTGTTGGTTTTTTGGGTGTGAGAATCATAGGGCTCGCGGAGAGAGGGCAACCACCCTCAAGAAAATCCCATTCTCGTCTCTCTCTCTCCAGCCTCATTTCCTCCTGAGCATTTTCTTTTACACCTATCCACCTTCTGATGTTCTATCCCCTGTTTTATACACTCTCCGTGATATTTCATTTTACTTTTTCCATTCCTGAACTAATACCGTATTAATCAAAAAATTAAAAATGTATCAAAATAAAATTAGAAATATCTATCTTTATCTAAAAGCAAAATGTTTTGGGGATACAATTCCCGCTCAAAAAGGTCGTTGTCATTGTTTTGAGGTTTGACCTCACAAATCCAATTTTTGTGTCGGTTTAGTGTCTTGCATGTGATGTAGTTGCCACCCACTATTTGGATTTGATCTACATTTTCCACTTTCTTCATTCATGCTCTCTAGATTCGTCAATTTGGGAGGTGAAAACAGTGCTTGGGGTGGTGGATGTGACATGTCATGAATGGGTGGGATAGAATGGATTTTGACTTGGTCTTTCAATGGCCACGTTCGGCCACCTCTCTCAAATCACTATTCAAATTTGAAATCGGTCAAACCTTCTCATTTCATATTTCTGCGTCGAGTCAGTTTGTGTGGGGTCAGTCCCTGTTGGGATTTCATCTTGATTTTCTTCTTAATGCATAGAGCAATCTTTATTGGTCCAATTGGGAGGTGCAAAAAGTGTTTCAAATGGGGGATTTGACATATCATGAAATGAATGGGATTGTGGATAGATTTTTGGTCTTGGTTTTCCAAAAGCCAAGTTCGGTCATATTGGGAGAATGGGGGTGCAAACACTATTTAAATTTGAAATCAGACTAAATAGTGTTTTCTCTAATTTCCAAATTTTATTTGTACGTGGTAAGTGTGGGTGGGTTGGTTTCTTTCCTAAGTTCTAGGCCTATAAATAGAGAACCATTGATATCCAAGATCCCCACATCTAGCTCTTCCAAAGCAAACAATAACTTAGGCAAAAAAAATCAAGATGGTTGGCATGTGGTCCATGTTCCGAGAAATAGACTAGAGCAAGACCACATGGGCGTTCAAAGCCAGGGCTATTCGTGTTTACCGGGAACCTGCACATGACTGTTTTCCGGAGTCGTTGGAGATAGTTTTTCATGATGAGGAGGTTTGTATGTCTTAGATTCTGTTGTTTTAGAAGCAATATTCCTATTGCTCTTCCAGTTTAAAGCTACAATGTTGGGATTAATTGTTATGGAAGTGTTTGGGAGAAAATGTATGACAAAACACATTTTGGATGCTCATGTTGATTAAAACAATGATAAGGTTCTAAATATGCATTTTCTGGGTTCTGGACCATGTGTTCACTACGTACCTGACTGGAATTTGCTCTTTCCACATAATTTAAAATTGTTGGGTTCCAAAATCCATGCACACATTCCTGACCAGTACATTAACAGGTTCAACGGTGTGTTTAAGGAAGGTCGTGTTTTCGCGGTTAAGAATTTTATGGTCGAGGAAAACTACATGTTTTTTAAAACTACGACCAGTGCTTATCGTTTACGTTTCTTCAGCAAGAGTGCGGCCTTTGAGATTAAGGGTGTTCCCTTTCCGTTGAGGACTTTCTCGCTTGTGTCGTTTGCATCGCTGCAAGCTATGGACACCATCGATGAGAAATACGGAATCGGTGCGCATACTATTTTTATTTTGATCTTAGAACACATTTTGTGTAGATTGCCGTCTAATTTCATGTTTATCTAAAAGATATACTAGGCCAAGTGATACATGACAAGGACCCTAGGACGATTCTAAAAAATGAAAGGCCGAGAAAGCTGATGGAACTAATTTTGGGTGATACGGAGTAAGTTAACATTTTGTTAATAAGTATTTTGTTAGTAACCTATTAGGGGAAACGTCATTGCACGCACCCTTTGGGGACCCATGGTAGAGATGATGTTGACGTACAAGCTAACAACATCGGATCATGTTGTTATGTTGCTCCAAAGTTGCCGGGCCAGGAAGTATCAAGGTTTTTTCCAAGTCCACGTAGCCCTATGATTCTTTGTTGTTCTTCAATTAATTAACATATAATTTTTTTGCAAGGCCACGTCCATGTCTCTAACATGTTCAACACCACCAAGGTCATTTTGAATGGTACGAAAGATGAATTCATGGATTTCAGTTCCAGGTGAGAAGTCCAACACCATTTACTTTTCGATCTATAAGAGTAAAATATATCAGGAGTTTATCATAACTAAAAAAATACTTGAACAGGATGAATGAGGGCGCAGTTCAAGGATTGAGTTTCACTATACAATCAGACAACTCCAACGGTGGAGACGTTGCAAGTGGCCAGCAGGAGTTGTTGACGATTGATGATCTTAGCAAACTACAAGAGGTTTGATTTGGATTTGAATTTGAAATTGAATCAACGACTCTAAGGATTGATGACCTATAAAACCTAGCGTTCCGTATTGTTTCTTTGATAAACATGATGGGAAGAACTGGGTTTACGGGGAAATCGTCGCCATCGACAGCTATAAGGATTGGTCTTACGTGTCTTGCATCGGTTGTAACAGGAAGGATACAACAAAAGGTGATAGCTTCTGGTCTGCATCTTGCAGTACTAATGATGCGGTTCTCAGGTCTATATTTTGTATATTACAGGTGCTCTTAACCTTCTGCTCCGAACCTACTTAACACCGCAATGCCTAACATGTTTAGGTACAAAGTAAATGTGAGGGTTGTTGATGGCACAAACCATGCGTCTTTCTTGCTATGGGACAGGGAAGTCTCCTGTTTGTTGGGCAAGTTCGCTGCTTCGCTCAAGGACCAAATAACTAGGGTTTGTTTTAATTCTATTTCTATCCTACCTACTTTCATTCTAAGTTGCACTAACACTTGATATTGATGTAGAGGAACTTTGGTCCGCATTACTTTCAAACGGAGATAAACGCCTTGATTGACATCAAGGCGCTATTTAGGGTTCAGTTCAAAAGAGAAAGCAGGAATTTCAAGGGAAACCGGACTTTCAGTGTTCTTAAGATGAACACTGATCCAAAAGTACTTGCACTGTACACAGATAAGATAAATGGAAATGAGGTACTCAGGTTTATATTTTCTGTTTTAAATGAACAAGTTTTGGGCTAGAATACTCTAATTATTGTGTGCTGTTTTATTAGGAAGAGGACGAGTTCAGCAGGTTGGCTTCACAGCATTCATGGTCTGAAAAGGTACTGGATTTGGTAACCTAAGTTGCAAGTTAATCAAATTACCGTTCAGATTGTTAGGATGGTCATTCGAATTTGAGCCTGGATCTTCACAAGCTACAGTGTCTAGCCCACTTATGACAAAGGAGAAGAGGCAGGTTCTGGAGGTCGTCGCTGAGAGGGTGAAGCGTGACCTATTTGAAGATATTTCAGCGTCAACCTCATCGAAGAAGCTCAAGGCAGTGAAGATTGAAAAGGAGTGAAGATATTAAATCGAGCGGTTTCGTTGGTTAAGTCTGATTGTTATAAATGTTGTCTACGGCGGTGTTAACTACTTAGTGTTTTGGATCAATTTCATATGTAAAGGACAAAACATCCACCCTAGCCTTGACTCAAGAGTTATTTTGGTGTTGGGTAATTTTTTATTTTTGGGATGTTTTGGCCCTGTGATGTAGTCTACATCTGCACCGACCACCTATGTCTTTTTATTTGAAGATACATTCCATGGAATGAATGTACTTCAAAGCGTGTATCAGTAGCTGTAGGGTTCAGCTACTGTTGTTTGTTTATTCAAGATGCATTATAATATATTGTTTTTATGTAAGCTCTATTTTGGATTTAATGCTTTGTTCAATTCTATTGTTGTATTATATATGTTGAGCTTACGGTTCACCTACTACAGCTTTATCATTCGAGAAGCATTTTAATGGATTATTCGTGCAGTTAGTAGATCAGTGGGTAACACGTGCCTTTTATCCTTTGTTGTTTATCTAGCCTTGCGGTTTAGAGGGGTGGTCTAAAGGTCCAAAGGTCTAACAGGTGGTCCAAAGATTTTTTATCTAACATGTGACCTTTAGCCTGTGGGTGGTCTAAAGGTCATATGATGGTCTAGAAAACCTATTGGATCATGTACAACATTCAGTTTACACTGAATGTTTGATATCTACCTTGGTTCTCAACTCCAATGTATAAATACAATGGAAGTAGGTCAGCATTTAAGGATTTATGGATTGGCTTCAAAAAGCACATGTTAAGCATTTATGAGGTGTTAAGAAAAATATGAGAACCCTTGGTCAGTGTTGGAAGTGCATAAGTGTTTGGAAATTTCATTGGATGGTCCTACGGAAGTGCATAAGTGTTTGGAACGATAGAGAGAATTTAAATATACGAAAGGCGTAAACACTTAAGGAAGGCGTAGATAGAATACCTGCAGTGTGGCCCGGAACTTGACGTTACCTAAATCTACCCTATATCTATTATTACATACATTACAGATTGAAATTACAATTAAAAATATACTAATTATCCTAGGCATTTGCAATCCCTCTTAAAATTTAACAAGTTCCTGCAAATTTACACATAAAAAATGTGTTAGAAATTGTATAAATTAAAACTTAGGAAGAGCTGCAGATGTATTAATATTGAACCAATAATAACGACACGAAATTTATTTAAAATCAACCTATTTTTCTGGCAAACAAAGATTGTATGCAAAATGCAACTGTGATAACTACTATGAAATATTATACCATATATCACCTCCTGAATGCCTGGTCTCTATGGGGCAATTAGTTTCACCTTGGCATTCGGATAAGAGTTTTTCTAATAATGTAATCATTTAAGCCATGTCCAGTGGTATTATTTACCAATGGTCATGTCTTCTAATTCATTTTTGTATTAATGGTAAAACTAATGTAATTAATGTCCACATGTAGGTTATGCAGTACAACTTATTTAGTTAAAGTGCTTCTGTCCTACCCTATATTAATGTATTAATATAATAAATCCCCAATTTGAGCGGGTGAGCTTACAATTTCCCCAATAATTTCCCTATTATATTTGTAAACTCACCCATGTATTGAAGTTGTAATAAATCCAGTTATAAAGTTTTTAAAATCAAGCTTATTTTTTGAAAAACACAAGTTCTATGCAAAAATAATATGTGG